GCGTCATCTGCCTTCTTGTAGCCTCATTTTTCGGCTCCTTTGGCGCTCTCTTTCAGCTGGTTTATTTCGGTGTCTTTCTTCTTTTCAAGCTTTACCAGCTCGCGCAAGTATTTGTCCTTCAGAGCAATGGCAGCCTTCTGCTTTTCGGCTTCGGCCGAACTAACCAGCCCGGTCAGTCTGCCGATCTCACCTCGTAGCTCGCCCATTTCCTTTCTGGCCTCCTCCAGCTCGGCCGCTTTTGCCTCAGCTTCTGCCGCTGCTTGCCTGGTTACTTTCCTAAGCTCCAGCACTTTCCTATGAGTGATTTGGTTTTTCTGAATGGCCTGACAAAGCAAAGATTTCCCTTTAGCCGAAGTAGAAGTTGAAAAAAGAAAGTAGATAGAAAAACGACCGAAGTTGCTTACCAGAATCATGGATTTAGTCGTAGACCGGATGGCCTTCAGTTCGGTGTTTAACTGTTTGTGGTGGTGCTCCATGTCTTTGGGCAGACACACACTCTTGGCCAGATTGATGGCCAACAGGTGGTCTTTCTCAGCAACAACCGAGTCGGTATCTCGGATGTCTCGATCGTTGAAAGTAAGTTTTGGGGCCCAGCTGCCGGTAGTTCGGTCAGAAGGTTCCGGTGGGGGCTCGGTGGCAAGCTCGGTGGAAGTGCAGGTTCTGCTTCATCAACCAAAATTTGTTCGGTTTCAGCAGTCCAGGCGCGCTTGGTTCGGCGGGAAGAGGACGGCTGTTGAGAAGGGAGGGCCACAACAGCAGGTTGCGATTGGCTGGGTGGCGTTACTTCGGGCCTGGTTGTCTCGGTTAAAAGAGCCCTGACTCTGTTCTTTTTCGCCATCTCTTCTTCGGCTGTCAGTGGGACTAGTCTAATCTCGGGCAAGGATGGGTCCGGTTCTGGGGCGTCTTCAAGAAGGAAGTCAGTTACCCTGGCTTTCCGACGACCGCTGTATCGATAGGTCGGCTCGAATTGCAGCAACTTGGCCCAACTACGTTCAGGATACCGTAGTGCGGCTCGCAAAGCTGCAAGATTTGGATAACTGTACAAGGAATGAAGGTGAGCAGAATCTGCGAAAAAGAGACAACTGTTAGTTCAAAAAATGCAAGGAAGAAGACCGAAGTTAAATTACCGGGCTCTCCTTTTTTCCAATTTATAGGTCGGCCAGGAATTTGGGCTTAAAAATTCTCAAAGTTCCCGGAGACCTAGAAAAAATCATCGTCATTTACGTCTTTGTCCGGTGTATATTTAATTATCTTCTCTCGGCGGCGACGTATTCTAAGGTAATAAACCCACCCGTCCTCTTTTGAGCCAATGGAATATTGATGGAAAATTTCGGCCAGGCCAAGGTTTAGTCCGGCTTGGCGGTTCAGTTCGGCAATCCCCATAATGATGCGGTAGGAGTTAGTAGATAGTTGGGTTGGGCATAGCCTGGTTTGCCTAAGGAATTCGCAAATCAATGGCTGGACTGGAAACCGTAGTCCGGTTTCTATGATGGATAAAAGGGTGAAGGGAATGAAGCCTTCATTGTCCCAGAGAATGACGTCTTTTTCGGCCAGGACCAGATGGACGTCATCAGGTATTTGGTAGTCTTTCCTGAATTCGGCTAGGCCGCCCGGAGTATTTACTAAGTATCTATACTTCCCCATCTATCGTATAATTTAAGAATAAGTTATTTCGGTGCAAATATTGTGCTCAGTAGCTCGGTTGAGCGCACGCAGGAGTGTCTGGGCAACCTAAGTCTGCAAAGTAGAAAACACAGGGGTTAAGCACAGATCATTGGACCGTGCTACAAATTAAAAGTGAGGTTAAAAAGTCCTACTTCGGCTTTATGGACGGGTTCTATCTTGGTTCAGCAAAATGCTTGGTAGCTCGGTTTGAGCAAGGTTCTTATTAGCCAAATCTTGGAGACATCTCGGCATACTGGCTTTGGAAACAATTTTGTTAGACTGGTTCATAGCCTAGGGGCAGCTTTCTGAGTTCGGTCTAAAAAACTAAGAAAGCTGGCTCAGCCCCAAAGGCCTAAATCGGTTGAATTTGGAGTTTTGTTATTCGGTTGAGCCTCTAGGGGCAGCTTTCTGAGTTTGGTTTAGAAACTAGGAAAGCTGGCTTAGCCCCAAAAGCTTAGCTCGGTTGAAGACCGAGGTTCCTTATTTATTAAAGTCAAACTTCGTTCGGTGGGCTTATCTCGGCTAGAGTTATTCAGAAGTTGATAGCCTACTGAAAGTACTGATTTCTGGAGTTCTAGTTCGGCTATTATCTAAAGTGATCTGCCTATATAGGACAAACAGTATCCTAGTTCGGTTGCTACATGATTTTGGATCCAAGACCAGTTTTCTACAGAATAGTTCATACACGCATGAGTTCTACTAATTTTTTCATGAAAGAACATAAGCGAAGCAGAAATGGAAGAACATGTTTTGCAAAAATACAGTAAACCAAATGCATAGAGCAGATACGAAAGCAAAAACAGGGAAGGAAAGTAGATTTGCTTACCAAGATTGAAGAAAAGAGGACTGAAGATGGAAACAGTAACAGCAAATGAACACGAGCTTGGTAGTTGGAAAAGCAGAGGCACGAAGAGAGAAGATGAATAGAATAGGTGAATGATCCAAAGATGAAAGGGCTGTTTTGTGAAAAGGGAGAGAGGGAAAAAAAGCGAGAACTATTCAAAATTTTCGTGGTACGAGGGCGGCGTGACAACTGCTCACAGCCTATCAGAGCCTGCCACGTGTCATTGGAAAGTGAAGCGTTACAGTCAGTGATTGAAGAGACGTTTTGACCGAACGCGTAGAGCCGGAGTAAAATAAGCTTGGCTGGAGAGGCTAAGTGATTTTTTAGTTCGGCTGGAAAAGCTTATAGACGTTAGCTCGGCTGGTCACTAGGTAATCCCAATCATGCTGTGCAGATGGAATTAAGGGGTAATTAAGAGGGTAATTTTTGGTGAAAATTGGGCCGAGCTATGAAATGGACTTTATGACCCCAAAGTACGACGGACCGGGTAAAATGGGCCGAGAAGTTACTTCGGTCCATGAGAAATAAAGTTACTTCGGTCAAAAGAGATGAAGTTACTTCGGCTCAGGAATTGTAAAGCTACTTCGGTTTGGACAACTTGAGTTAGTCCGGTCTCCGAGTTAGTCCGGTCATGACGTATTCTGGATAGGTCGGTCAAGACCTTGCTACTCGGTAGCTTGGTCCCAACATATCATGGTTCATGCAAGGGAGAACCAAGATGAGGAGTAAATGGAAGGGCCGAACTAGGGATAGTTCGGCCTACCTTGTGGCTCAGCTTAGCCAGTTTACTTCGGTTAAATGGTAATTCGGCCTTAGTAAAAACCATCCCGCTTGGTTTAAGTAGTGGGGGTGTAAAAGGATAAGCATTATCTTTTAGGAGTATGAATCCTAGGAGGACTCTGTATGGAGAAAAAAAAGTCCTACTAGGATTGGGCCACTCGAAACCTATAAAAGCTTACAAGTATCACCTTGGAGGAGGTAACATAACACAATATACCATTTTTGCTTCCTGAATACATTGAGCTTTGTCTATTTGTCAAGTTTTCTGACTTAGGCATCGGAGAGGTTTCCGGCACACACCCGCCGGCTAGCTCACGTTTGTGTTTTCAGGTGACAAAGCGACGTCGTACGGAGGAGCGTGGACTTATTCAACAAGATTATACGAGGAGAATTATTTCTTCCCCGTACATCTAGCATGACCCAAAATAAATAAATTTGGTATTGCAGACGATGTAATCCTGCAAGTTAAACTCACTTGCAGCCAACAATTTCAGAGATCTATTAAATTGTGATGAGTAGTAGTAACGCCAACAAAGCAATTCTGACAATATAGAGAGATGTTTGTCTTGTTTTAGCAGCAACTCAAAGGCAACGTGGACTAGAGACATGCAGACTTGGATTGTGAATAAAATTTGCATAAACACACAAATATAAAGGGAAAAAATGAATGTATATGTTTGGATTGAGTGATTTGGAGAAAAAAGAAAAGAAATGGAAAGATATATATTTTTTTTACTTGTTTAGATAACTTAAATGGAGAGAAATGGAAAGAAATTTAGAGAAATTGAGAGAAACTCATTTCTTTTATAAGCTTAATTTTCAATCTTTCCAAAAATGAACAGATTGGGAGAGAAAAGAAACCACTATTTTCATACTATCAATTTTGTCTCTATAATAATAAAAGAAATAAAATGATTGAAAATATAAAAAGGTTATTTTGGTAATATAACATAAAATAATTTTTTTTCTTTTCTTTTAATAAAATATAACCAAACAAGAATGAGAGAAATCATAATCATTTCTTTTCTTTTATTTCTTCTTTATTCAAACAAAAATGAGAGAAATTGCAATCATTTATTTTCTTTTATTTTCTCTTATTACTTAAGTAATGATTTCTTCTCTTTTCTCTCCTAACTTCCCAAACACAGTGTAAATCAATTCTTTTCTTTTCTCTCCTAAATCAAAAACAAATTATAGAAATTGAGTCGTGTAAATTTAAACATAAAACTCTTTCTGGCAACAGAAACAAAAGCAATTATGGAATCTGATCAAATGCAACCCCCTTGTCCCTTTTCTTCTCTACGGCCTTTCTCACCCCGTTGATGTATAAAATATGTTTCAATGCAATTCAGAACAGATCAATCACTCGTTCCCACATATTTCAGAGCAGAATCAATTCCAAACAGTAGGGATAACCAAGGTTATCCACACAAATATTGGACACAAATGACATAAAACACAGCTCCACACCAATCAAACTACAATCAAAGAAACAACATTAACCCAATTGAATTTGACTGAATCATCAAACTCTCTTTATAGATTCTGTGAAAAACAAATATATCAAATCTTGCAAAGCTAGCAACAACCCAAATCGCCATACAACCCGAACATAATGAAAAAGGCAAAGAAAAGGAAAACCCATTTCAAGAAACGACAAGAAAAGGACTTTATAATGAAAGACACATTTAATCAAACGATTGGTACTCACAGCCCAGAGTGACAAAGGTGGAGCTCGGGCGGTGACGATGAGCCAAACCCAACCATACCCAAGAAAATTCTGCAAAGCACCAACAAGAAGAGCACCCCATAATGGCAAGACCTCGCACAAACTACCAGCCAAGAACCCAACACTGTCCCCAAGGTCCTTGGCCACACCCAACCTCGCAATCTGCCTCTGATTGTAGTTCAAAGAACTCTTAATCACCGGCGATAAGCTCCCAAACAGGTACCCAATACCAGCACACGATTGTACCCACATTGAAGCCACAAACACAAGCCATCTGTTAGTGAAAAACGATCCCAATCGACCCATGATGAGTCAAAACAGAGTGTTGTTGGGTTGTTCAAAATGGGTTTGAAGATCTGAGACTAGAAAGAAAAAAAAAAACAACAACAAAAAAAAAAGAAAAAGAATTTGATTGATTTTAGTGTGATTAATTTTGTTATTTGGATTTCTATTATCAGGAAGAAACGAGCAGAGAGTTCGGAGTGGGAGAGATTGATGACGATGATGATATCGTTGATGGACCAAGAGATTCGGTTGTGCAAACTATATATAGTAACTGAAATTGGAGTTTAATTATTGGAATTGCCATTTAGGACTCAAGCCCAAGGGACGGTTACACCAGACGACTCATCGAAATTCAAATCGTTGTACGACTCATCGAATAATTTATTTTTGTAAAAAAATAAATTGATCAGATATCAATAATTATTTAATCAGAACATAGATATGATCGATGATTTTGCAAACTTACTAGATTTTTGATTTTTTAAATTGAATGTGAAAACGTTATTTATTGGTATATTTTGAAATTCACATTCACATAGATATAATTTGTGGTAACATTCAATTTCTTGTATAAGAAATTGAATGTTACCATATAGAAAATTAAATGTTACCATAAATTAAGTTTGCGAAACGTAACATGACACCTACATAAATATAACATATATAGGAAATTGAATGTTACCATAGATTAAGTTTGTGAAACGTAACGTGACACTTATATAAATATAACATAACGTGAACATATCATATGGGACATTATATACACGTAACGTGACATGACACCTACATAAACGTAACGTAACGTGTCATGTTACGTTTCGCAAATAAGATCTTGTAGAATATATTCTTATCTAAATAAGACTTGAGATTTTATAAGAAATTACATATGACTTAACATAGTATAAGTGTCTAAAATATGACTTATAAATAAATTTCTTTTTATATTAATAATTTATTTTTAAAAATATAAATTTTTATCTCCTTAAGTGACTATTAATATCTAATTACTATATATTTTTACAAATCTAAATTACTCCACAAGATTTACATATTGAACCACAAAATCTAATAACACTGCAATTCAATTTCAAACCGGAGGGAAGCTCATCTCCACACACTACACTCGTCACTTGCATTGTTGATCGGTGAGGACCAGCAAGGACATTTGAAGTGACGCCATATCTTACCACCCAAATTGGTTGCTTTTGCGATATAACTTTTCAAATTATTAAAATTAAGGATAAATTATAAATATATATATTGAGATTGGAAACTTTTTTGATAAATTCTTTTTCTAAGAGTTTTATTCCATTCAATTCATATTCTTTTTTACTATTCCATTAGGTCCTATTTAAGATAAGAAGACCAAAATATCATCTTCATCTACTTATGTTCTATTTAATTTACATTATTTTCTTATATTTCAATAAGTCCTATGAGTGACATAATTACCAAAATACCCCTAATGTGAATGTTCACATCGTCAATGTGAATGTTCACACCGTTAATGTGAATGTTCCTATTTGAGATAAGAAGACCAAAATACGATTTTCATCTACTTATGTTTCATTTAGTCCACATTATTTTCTTATGTTAGAATAAGTCCTATGTGTGACATAATTATCAAAATACCCTAATGTGAATGTTCACATCCTATGGGTGACATAATTATCAAAATACTCCTAATGTGAATGTTCACACCGTCAATGTGAATGTTCCTATTTGAGGTAAGAAGACCAAAATACCTTTTTCATCTACTTATGTTCCATTTAGTCCACATTATTTTCTTATGTTTCAATAAGTCCTGTGAGTGACATAATTACCAAAATATCCCTAATATAAATGTTCACATCCTATGAGTGACATAATTACTAAAATACCCTTAATGTGAATGTTCACATCGTCAATGTGAATATTCACACTGTCAATGTAAATGTTCACATCGTCAATGTGAATATTCACACTGTCAATGTAAATGTTCACACCGTCAATGTGAATGTTCATATCATCAATGTGTAGGGGCTCGGCCCAGCCCGGGCCGGGGCCAACCCATATAAAGCCTCGTGGGTGCTTGCCAAAATTCGGCCCGGGCCGGACCGGCCCACGGGCCAAAAAATTAGACCTAGGCCCTAGCCTTGGCACAAAGGTATTCAGGCTTTGAGTGCCCCGGTGGGTCGAGCCAAGGGGCTTGGGCCTAGACTTGGGTTTGGGTCTGGCTTGGGTAAGCCTCGCTATTTTTTTTCATTCTTTTTAATTTCTTCTACCAAAATTTTATTATTTTCCACAAAAAAGACACCGGACCTCTGGCTGGCCAGGCCTCGGGCCAAGCCTTAAATGGGCCTTATGCTGGTCGAGCTTCAACGTGATGGCCTAGATTCTAGCCTAAGTTCTCAGGCTGGGCTCGGGCCCAGGCCCAAACGAGCTTGCCCCGGGCCGCGGAAAGGCTTCGGGTGGCTCACGGGCCGCGGCCCAATTTTACACTCCTATCAATGTGAATATTAACATGTCAATGTAAATATTCACATTATCAACAGATCGAACTCGTTCCGGGTCGCGGACCAATTTTACACTTCTACCAATGTTAATGTTAACATGTTAATGTGAATATACACATTATAAACAGGTCGGACCGGGCCAGGCCCGCGGGCAGGTTTCGGGTCGCCTACGGGCCGCGGGTCAATTTTACACTCCTATCAACGTGAATGTTAATATGCTAATGTGAATATTCACATTGTCAACGGGCCGAGCCGGGCCCGCCCCGGGCAGCCCACGGCCCGCAATGTTAATGTTAATGTTAATGTTAATGTTAATGTTAATGTTAATGTTAATGTTAATGTTAATGTTAATGTTAATGTTAATGTTAATGTTAATGTTAATGTTAATGTTAATGTTAATGTTAATGTTAATGTTAATGTTAATGTTAATGTTAATGTTAATGTTAATGTTAATGTTAATGTTAATGTTAATGTTAATGTTAATGTTAATGTTAATGTTAATGTTAATGTTAATGTTAATGTTAATGTTAATGTTAATGTTAATGTTAATGTTAATATGTCAATGTGAATATTCACATTGACATGTTAACATTCACATTGATAAGAGTGTACAATTGGCCCGTGACCCGTGGGCAGCCCGTAGCCCGACCTCGGGCCAGGGCGGGCCCGACCCGTTGGTAATGTGAATATTCACATTGACATGTTAACATGTCAATGTGAATATTCATATTGTCAACAGGCCGGGCCGGGCCCGCCTCGGGCTGCTTACGGGCCGTGGGCGTGTTTCGGGCAGCCACGGGGCACGGGCTAATGTTACACTCTTATCAATGTGAATGTTAACATGTCAATGTGAATATTCACGTTGTCAACGGGCCGGGCCCGCGTCGGCCCGGGGCCGGGCTTCAGGCTGTCCACGGGTCACGGGCTAATTTTACACTCCTATCAATGTTAATGTTAATATGTCAATGTGAATATTCACATTGTCAACGAGCCAGGCCGGGCCCACCCTGGTCAGCGGGCAGGCTTCGGGCCACCCACGGGCCACGGGCCAATTTTATACTCCTATCAATGTGAATGTTAATATGTCAATGTGAATATTCACATTGTTAACGGGCCGGACCATGGGACGCGAGTCAATTTTACACTCTTATCAATGTGAATGTTAATATGTCAATGTGAATATTCACATTGTCAACAGGCCGGGTCGAGCTCGCCCTGGGCTGCCCATGGGACGCGAGTCAATTTTACACTCTTATCAATGTGAATGTTAATATGTCAATGTGAATATTCACATTGTCAACGGGTCAGACCGGGCTCGCCCTGGGCTGCCCATGGGACGCGAGTCAATTTTACACTCTTATCAATGTGAATGTTAATATGTCAATGTGAATATTCACATTGTCAACGGGTCAGACCGGGCTCGCCCTGGGCTGCCCATGGGACGCGAGTCAATTTTACACTCTTATCAATGTGAATGTTAATATGTCAATGTGAATATTCACATTGTCAACGGGTCAGACCGGGCTCGCCCTGCGCGAGCGAGTTTCAGGCCGCCCACGGGCCACAGGCCAATTTTACATTTTCTATCAATGTGAATGTTAACATGTCAATGTGAATATTCACATTGTCAACGGACCGGGCCCGGCCCGGCCCAAGAGGGAGCTTCGGACCGCCCACGGGCCACGGGCCAATTTTACATTCTTATTAATGTGAATGTTAAAATAGGAATATTTACAGCCCGCCCCGTCCCGGGCAACAGGCAGGCTTTGGGCCACCCACGGGCCACAGACTAATTTTACACTCCTATCAATGTGAATGTTAACATGTCAATGTGAATATTCATATTGTAAACGGGCCGGGCAGGGCCCGTGGACGGATTTTGGGCCGACCACGGGTCGCGAGCCAATTTTACACTCCTATCAATGTGAATGTTAACATGTCAATGTAAATATTCACATTGTAAACGGGCTGGGTCGGGTCCGCAGGCTGGTTTCGAGCCGCCTACAAGCCGCGGGTCAATTTTACACTCCCATCAACGTGAATGTTAATATGTTAATGTGAATATTCACATTGTCAACAGGCCGGGCCGGGCCAGGCCGCCCATGGGCCGCCGGCGGGTTTTCGAGCCGCAGGTCAATTTTACACTTCTATCAATGTGAATGTTAACATGTCAATGTGAACATTCACATTATCAACAGAACGGGCCCGCCCCGGCTCAGGGGCGACCTTCGGACCGCTTACGTGCTACGGGCCAATTTTACATTCTTACCAATGTGAATGTTAAAATATGAATATTTACAACCCGTGCCCACCCTGAGCAACGGGCGGGCTTCGGGCCGCCCACGGGCCGCGGGCTAATTTTACATTCCTATCAATGTGAATGTTAACATGTCAATGTGAATATTCACATTGTAAACGGGCCGGGCCCTCGGGCGCGTTTCGTGCCACCTACGGACTGCGGGTCAATTTTACACTCCTATCAACGTGAATGTTAATATGTTAATGTGAATATTCACATTGTCAACCGGCCGGGCCGGGCCCACCCCGGGTAGCCCACAGGCTACAGGCGGGTTTCAGGTCGACCACGGGCCAATTTTACACTTCTATCAATATGAATGTTAACATGTCAATGTGAATATTCACATTGTCAACGAACCGAATCCACCCCGACCCGGGGGCGATCTTCGGACTGCCCATGGGCTACAGGTCAATTTTATATTCTTACCAATGTGAATGTTAAAATATGAATATTTACACCATAAAATTGCTAACCGTTCAAAAAATATTTGTAAGGGTATCAAAATTAAATGTAAGGGCATAAAAGTCTAAAAAAAG